GGGCATGGCGGCGGATCTGCGGCGCTGCCGCGCTGCCGGGGCGGTGCAGGTGACCTTTGGTCGTGCTGCAGGGCATGGCTGTGGCCACGAGGGAGAGCGGCCGGGCGGGAAAGCTGGGGCGGGCGGAGGCAGGGGGGTCCTGGGCAGCTCGGTGCTGGTGTTATAGAAGAAATTTGATTAAGTATATTTTTCTCTCTGGAATAGTCTCATTTAGCACCAGTGGCCTAGCATCAGCAGCTGAAGTCACTGAAGCCTTAGGTGGCAAGAGCTGACCAAGGGTAAACTTTTGATAAAACTAATGCTGCTCACAAAGAACATGCTGAATTCAGCAGATACGAGTGGAACGAAGAAGAAAAGGACCAAGGAGACAATTCCAAGAGAATGAAGTAACTTCAGAAGGCGGCCAGCCCAGCAACAGTGAAAACCAGTAAGAAACCAAGAGACCACCGACCATAATTAAGTGATTGGGCTTGGGGGTGGGGGTGATGGGTGGTACGGGCATAATTGAGAGGCATGAAATGGGGTGGGGGTCCCCCTCTGGAGGCACCCAGCTTGAGCTGAAACCGGAAAACTAATAAAAGACTAATTGGAAGCCTTCACTCAGACTTGGCATTCTCAGACGGATCCTAGGGTCAAACATTGTTACAGTGGCTGGCATGCATAAATCTGTAGCACTGGCCCTGGGGACACTTCCTCTGGCCCCAGCAGCACCCCAGAATCCTGAGTGCCTTGCTGAGGCACCTGCCTTACAGCCCCCCCCTAGTTGCCCCCCCAGCATAACAATGCTTCTCCTTGGTGCTGTGCTTGGGAAGGCTGAGGTTACTGCCCCAGGGGGCCGCTTTCCCTGTGGCCAGTGGGTGTTTTGGGTCCCTTGTCACCAATGTTTCAGCCTGGCGGTGTTTTGGCCTTCTTCTGCTGTGTTTCACTTCCCAGCAAGGCTCTGTGCCTGGCATTGGTGGCAGCTGCAGCCACCAGCAGTTTGTACCCTAATTTTGTTAGGAATTGGGACAAATTCCTCTGCCCCAAAAGCCCCGTCCTGTTTCTCCCAAGGCCTTTCTTAGCTGTGACTCCTCAGACACCCATAGCTTGGCTGAACGGCCACCAGGTGGTTTTGTGGCTGGTCAGGCAGCTAAGAGCCACATCAGCCCCTTCGACCTTTTTTCTTTGCCTTCCCTAAGGTTTAGCCCTGCTCCGACCAGCCCCGGGCTAGTCGTCAGCCCTCGAGGGAGCTTTGCCTTTCTCCAACCACTTGGACCAGTTTTTCTGGGACGTGTGGGGAGCTGGCATCATCTCACAAAGCCCAAATGACTGGTGGTGAAAACATAATTGTCCCCTTGCTCCCTTTCTGGCGCTGCCTGGTTTTGTCACTGGCTGTTGGTGGCTTCTGCGGGCTCAGGGAGGCAGAGAGCTTGACCCACATGGCCGTGGGATCCTGAGGAACGGTTTAAAACACTTGTTGGGTGGCAGCTGTGGGAAACAAGGAGGGAAATGAGGTGCTGCTTTGGGGGAATGAGGGGACACCAACAGTGCAAAGCAAAGCACCCTGGTCGTGCCTGCATTAGAGACTGGTCTAAAACCTGGATGCCAACCTTGAGGGGTTTGCTCAGGGGTCCCAGGGGCTGGGAAAGTTATTTGCTTTGGGCAAGGACCCAGCTTCCTCTCTATCAGCCTTTGTTTGATGCTTCTGCTGGCATCAAATTAAGGGAAACCCAAGTGGCACCAGCTACTCCCTCAAAGCAGCAGGTGGGCTTATCCACCCCTGCCCACCAGGCCGGGGAGCCAAGGCTGCATCCAAGGGCCAAGAGGGGCTGGGGAAGGGGCTGCATCCAAGGGCCGAGAGGGGCCGGGGGAGGGGGTGGGACCACGGGCCGAG